GGAAGCCTTTTAACTTTGGATATCAGTTGTGCTATTACGATGAGGTCAGTTTCAACTTTTTTAGTGCTGTCCGAAACATATTGACACGTTTAGCAAGTGACGAACAAAACATTACCTATTCAATATTTAAACGCACTTCTTCTCTCGGGGCCACCTGCTTAAGTGTTCCCGTTTTAAATACCAAACAAGCGTTTTTTGTTTTGTTTAATCTCGTCAATTATATGTAAGAGAAGTAAGGGGAAAACTAAAAAAAGGTATACAAACATGTACATAACTAACTGCTGTCGTCTTTCAACAAACTGTACCAAAATCTAACAAAATATACATGCTAAAATCAGCTGGATCAGGAAGGCATTGTCTTGTAAATTATCTAACCTCACAACTCCAATTTAAATGAGATGCCTGCAGCCTTAATCCCCTATTTAGGTCAAAATGTTTATCTCCCTTGCCGGACAAGACATGGATATCTTGGTGATATTGCTCCTTTGCACAACCGTACGGTCTGGAATCAGTCATATTTCACAGCCTAATTTTACAGCTGGTGACTTCGCTAAGGCGATAGAAGGATGGAAGCTAAATGGAAGCGTGATAAGCGAAACAAAAGTAGATTCGGAAAGTTCTTGTCGGTTGAATTGCTTGGAGGATAAGCGATGCCAGTCTTACAACTTTGGAACTGTGAAGGACAGCTCTGGGAGATTAGTTTGTCAACTGAGCGACTCTGATCGATTTGTTGGTCGTGTTAACTTCACAGAAGACGAAGATTTCCTTTACAGAGGAATAAAGGTAGGTTATGGACGAGATAACTTCTCTTAGGAAGAATTATTGATAGAGTTGTAGCAAACTTAACTTTCGCGGCCTACAGGTAAATGAGGAGGCCCTCTCTAATAAACTATTAAGAAGTACTTTGCAAACTTTTCCTTGCAGCAATTCGCAGGTTACCCCATAGAAACAACCAAGCTGAGGACTGATGCGTTGACAGTCAGTCAGCGCTTTTTACTGAAAACGAGTAACGTTTAAAAAAAAAGCAAGCTTCTGACAAGGCGCAAAAAAGCTTTTAAGAATTAAAATACTTTAAAATTCAGCTTGGCATTGAGGCCTAGAGGACACAAAGAAAGGAAATCGAAAGACACGTTTATTCATTTCTTTTGTTTGTGTGCTCTAGGCCTGGCTATCAAGTTGATTTTTAATATCATGATCGAAAGTGGCCTATTACTATTATTCACAGAAAGCATAAGCCAGCACCAGGAGTTGACAGACGTGTCTTGTAACGTCACCAAAGGAATTTTAATTATTTATAGAATTACAAGTATAATAGCTCAGAATTTCTCAGCTGTCCAGTCTGCAAAGCGAGAACGTGAAATGACCAATTACTTAATTTTACGGAGACTGGCCTCTGCCATGTTTACCTGCGCCTTTAAACTATAATAATAAAAATATTCTAAGAGGGTAAATGACCAAAAAAGGTGACATTAAGTTCATTAGGGTGGCGCTCGATAACTACCCTTTTTTTAATCACCAGGTACATTGGAATGCAAATTGCCCAGCATCTGGGCAGAACCACACTTCTTTTTGTCTTGATAAGAAGCTATTGTTTTCATGCTTGACATGGTCGCCACCACGTTGGAATACGATGCCCAGATTGGCCGCAAGGCATTAATAAGAAGCTTAAAGGATGTAATTAACCAAACGTTTAAGTACACGCAAAGAGCAAACGTACGTTCAGGCTGTTTTCTCCAGTGGCTTTTGCATCGTGCAAAACAATGTTGCAAGTTTTTTCTCGTGTTCAAATGTTATATTTCACACAATCTTGATTACGCCTTCAAAAGCCTTTTTGCAAAGTTGTTACTACAGTTTTTAGAAATCATTGCTCATGTGACGACATAAGGCAAACGATATGCTACTGAACAGGATTTCAAGCCAACCCACCTGGTCAAACACACCCAAACTCCAAAGTATTTTCTTTTCTCGCGAGCTTTCGTCAGTGTTGGTTTTTGGAGGTTTCCTCTTCCTAGTTAAAATGCTGTCACTAAAATTTTGAAGAACCTAACACGTTAAGAACGTCGAACGTCAGGAGCCAAGGGCTCCTGCGAACGTTCAGATTGCTAAAATAGTAAACACATTCAGTCTCGGTTCAGCTTTGACTGGTTTATAGGTAGACGTTTTCAAAAAGAAAAAGAGTGCAAGACGACTTAAAGTGTTCAGCATTTTTTTTTACAAATACTTTAGCCGTCAGCATTTGTTTTGTGTTGACGTATAGTTAAGTTTTTGTGCCATTTATTTATTTTTTTTTAAAACAGAGAGTTTGTATTCCTGAGTATCAAGGCAAAAGCGTACGATGCAATTGCAGTGAAGGCTACACGGGAAAACCATGCAGTAAGTTAAAGATGTCATGATATTCCTGCTGCTGGATTGAACCTAATTAACAGTGGACACTTCAATTGAAATTCTTTTTGCATCAACAGAACCCAAAAGCTGCGCCCAACTCCTTCAAGATGGTTTCAAATCTAGTGGCGTGTACACCATCAATCCAGATGGCGGCAAACCAATGCAAGTGTTGTGTGACATGGTCACGGACGGTGGCGGCTGGACCGTTTTTCAGAGGCGTTTGGACGGCTCTGTTGACTTCTTTCTTGGATGGGAATCCTATAAAAACGGCTTTGGATATCCGTGCGGTGAGTTCTGGCTTGGAAACGACAATCTTCACCGTTTGACAGCTGCTGATGACGTCACACTGAGAGTTGACGTAGAGGATTTTGAAGGTGATATCAGATACGCTGAGTACACGACTTTTAAGGTTGCAGACGAGGGAGATAAGTACCGGCTTTTGATTGGAGGATACAATGGTACAGCTGGTGACTCGTTTTCATATCATAAGTAAGATGTTACGAAGTGAAACGGATGTTTATCTACATTGTATCTTTAGTTCACGTTCTGAATTTAGTAACCTTGACCGCACTCCGGAGCGAACGGTCGTGGTTCGAACCCTGGCCAGAGACATTGTGTTGTGTTCTTGGGCGAGACACGTTACTCTCATAGTGCCTCTCTCCACCTAGGTGTGCAAATGGGTACCTGTGAATTTAATGTTGGGGGTAGCCCTGCGATGGACTAGCATCGCATCCAGGGGGGAGTAGAAATATTCCTAGTCGCTTCATGCTACAGAAACCGGGATAAGCTCCGGCCTGACGGGTCACTTGGCTCGTATGCAGAATTTATCTGTTTTTATCTACTGCGCTTACCTTAGAACAGATACAGTTGGGTATAATTAAAAACCAACGCTAGTAGCATCTGAGTCTTTGGGAAGACTTCCTTGTTTAACTAAGAGTTCAGCTATATTTTATACTCAGTTGCAAAGCAAGCCTGACGTCAAAAGGTACATTAAGAACTTTAATAACTGTACTTCGTCAAGGGGAAAAGGATCTTCGATCAAATGACCTCCACTGGAAATATTATATCAACCAGCTTTTTTACACAAAGAAAACAAGTTTAACGAATTTTACTACAGACTAATTGCATACAATTGTCTCCAAATGAGAACTCAGTCTATTTATACCATATGTCTTAGGCTCAATGAAGATCATTATTATTACCTGAACTTCTTTTCATTCTTTCATAGTAACCAGCCGTTTTCTACGAAGGATTCAGACAATGCTGATAGCTGTGCTCAGACGTACAAAGGAGCCTGGTGGTTCAAGAATTGTCACGGAACGAATCTCAACGGGTTGTACCATGGAGGACCACATGCTTCCTACGGTGATGGAGTTTGCTGGAAGGACTTCAAAGGGTTTCAATACTCACTGAAACGTGCCGAGATGAAAGTGAAGTTTATAAATGTTGGTTCAAGTTAATATTGACATCACAGAAACGCCCTGATCACTGTTAACCCTTTACCCCCTAAGGTGAACGACAGTTTTTCCCAAATCGGCAAATAAAGACACTCCCTGTGTACAATGTGCCATTTGCAAGCCACTAATCAGCTCATTTAAGAATTGACATTAGCAGCTATGAAGGAGGTAGACATTTTGAGAGAAATTGCTTTAAAATAGGAAAATGAACGACTTCAAAAATGCATCAATCTTCTACTATATTAAGTATATCCCTAAACTATAGCTTATTCAGCAGCTCGTAGTGCATAGCTTGATATAAAACAAGTCTTGCCTTCCATTTGCATCCCAAAAAAGGAACTAAAAAATTGTGGGGATGGTCAACCATGTCTTGGATAGGAGGGAGTCAAAATTTTTTGACTTCAATGAGCAGATCTTCACAAGACAATTTTCGTGGCAAAAATTCATAGAAATCTATCAAATATCCACAAAGTTATGATGTTGTGTGCCAATTTGCACTCTTGGGGAGTAAAGGGTTAGACGAGTTGTGGCTATCTTCATGGCATAAAAGGCCAAGTACTGTAACAATGATACAAACTTTTAGAAACGCAACGAATTCGTAGCTGTAATATAAGTGCTTATAATTCATAAAGGGCTCGGTGAAACATGTGTTTTTCATTATCAAATTGTGATGAGTATGTTATCGTAAGGTAAACGTTTTTGCGAAGTTCGAAAAATGATGAACGGGAGGCAGAGTCACCTGAAATAATTTCGATCGATAAGTTGAGATGGCTCTGAAACACCCCAGCAACATGCATGATTAAAGACGGGGCTTTACCTGTAAAAAGCAGAACGTTTTGTTTTGTAACCCGTAACACTGGCAGTTTTCATCCAAACCACAGCAAACTACATACCACGGGAAGGTTAAGAGCCAAAAATGCGAAAAGCGAATGTTTTTGTGTGCAGTATTGGCACTGGACACCAGGCTGTCAAAGGTACTATCTACGGTGTAAAACTTATGCGCTTTTGAAAAAAGATTTTTCTTTGTAAACTTAAATGAAGAATGGACTTTATGTGTTATTTCAAAGAAGATCAACTAATCGTTGATATGGATGAATGATTTTGCAAAATTAAATAATCACATTTCAAAGAAACCATAGTAAGTTACAGCCTGAAATACAAGGTGAATATTAAGGGTCACTTTTTCTCTAGCAAGCCTTTGGTAATTCCCCTCATTCATATCAATTCATTAAATCGAATGGGCACAAACTGTGCTGAAATTTTCAACTGCTTAAAATTTTCAGGTCAGTACCCTAAATCCTCCTTAAAACTGCTTTTCACTAAGGTGAAAATTACTCATTCCGAAAAAACAGATTCGAACTTCACGGCAGATTATTGTGCAAGAATTTATCTTGTAACAAGTGTATTTTAAGTACGTTTGTAGCGGTTTTTTCTTCTGTAGCTGATTTTTGTTTAATAGAGTTCATTATTACTATTATAAAAAAAAAAAAAAAACAAAAAAAAACTGTTCAGTAGCATCAGTATTATGTAAGCCATGTTTCGGTATAGTAAGCAATGCGCAGTATTTTAAACTTGTACAAGTAATGTTAGTACTGTAAGTATCATTAGTATTGTAAGAATTGTTGCTGTTGTTAGTATTGTTAGTAATGCAAGTAAGATTAGTATCATAAATAAATGGACAAAAACTCATGTAGTGGGTAGAAAGCTATGTCCAGATTTTGTTTCCAGAAGCTTAAGGCAACAAAAAATTATCCCAAACTAAGCGAAGACTAAAGAACCAGTGTTTTCGTGCTTCGAGGAGACTTAAATCGCTGCATTTGTTTATCGTCTCTCATTTAATTAAACGTAAACATACCAATTCGGAATTGTCTCTAAAACTGAGCGACTAATCGTTTTTTCTTAATTAAAACAACCAGATTATTTGCTCTCGATTTCTTGGCGTGATAGCTGTCTCGGGGTTTTGCCTTCATAACTTTTGAAATTACAGACGTTTCGAGCGAATAATCTAATTGGAAAATGGATCGGTTACCGGCATAAATGTAGATCCCCCATAACATCCTTAACAGTGGCGGATCCAGACTTTGAACTAAGGGGGAGGGGGGCGGTTTTGATTTACTTGCCCTATTGGCTTCTCTTCCTTCAGTCATTTCTTCTTTTTCCACCCAAAATAAGTGGAGGGCNGGGGGGGGGCAGTTTTGTTTTACTTGCCCTGCTGGCTTTTCTTCCTTCAGTCACTTCTTCTTTTTTCACCAAAATAAGAGGGATCCCTCCCCTTGATCCGCCACTGCTTAAAGCATAGAATTGTAGCGGTTTTCATTTATATCAAGAAAAAAATCTTGTTTGGTACGATTCCTGTTGCAACGTAAGTTGCAAATTGCCAGTTCAACGCTTCTTGTGCTTTCGCTCGCGTTACGCACAGCAATAAAATGTTTGCTAATAAAATCATTTTCAGCAAGTGACAAACCAAACGTGCTAATGTCGGTCAAATTCTGACAACGCTAGCTCAATATTTGAACTATTGGGAATAACACCACAGAGAGCTGTGGTCTACTTTGTGATGACGTTCATCGCAACGGGGCAGTACAAAATTTATTAGGGAGCCAGAGGTGTATTCATGTTTCATTGTAGAGTCGGCATGCAGAGATGACCTGAATCGTCGAATTGTACGCGCGAAACTATTAAAAGCATAATTTATTTGAGGAACTTTAATTTCTGACTGACAAGGGCTTCGCTTTTTGCCAGAAGGGGAATATTACCTCAGTTTCAACAATAGAACTTTTCAATGACAACAATTTAAAAGATTGGGAGATAGAGATAAAGGCAGTAAAAGCAACTAATTTTTCTTACTATACATTCAAGAAAATAGCTAACAGACAAACAATTTGTGCGACGAAGAAACTCCAGTAGCTGAATCAGTTTGAGAAATTTAGCGTTGCCTCATATGATCTTCAGTCAACAGATCTCCTACACCTGCTATCTTAGCAAACTGATTAGGTAATACTTAACTCGGCGCTTTGCTTGTATTCCGCCTTCGCACGACAAGACATGCATGCCTGGATAATATCTCTCTTTTGTACGGCTGTCTATGGAATAAGTCGTATTTCACAACCTGGTTTGAAAGCGGTCAACTTTGCCCGACCAATAGAAGGCTGGAAGCTGAATGGAAGCGTGATAAGCGAAAAAGAAGTAGATTCGGAAAGTTCTTGTCGTTTTGAGTGCGTACAGGATGAGCGATGTAAGTCTTTAAACTTTGGATCGAAAAAGAACAACGCTGGAAGGCATATGTGTCAATTGAGCGACTCTGATCGATTTGTTGGTCGTGTAAACTTCACAGAGGCTGGAGATTTCCGTTATAGAGGAATAAAGGTAATTATGAACAAGTTAACATGACTTACTAATGACGAGTTTCATATTTTTTTCGATCCTCACATTTGTGGACTGCATTGAAATGAGAACCTTCACCAGAGATTTAAGACCGAGCCTCTGTTGCTCTTATTCAGAACGGTATTCAGATCTAGATTTGCAGGACCATCGCACATTCGATAGGAAGATTTAATCAAATGCTATTTGTTAGAGAGCTAGTGTTGTTATTGGTTAAAAGAAAGGAAGAGGATCGCATGTGGTCTAGAAATTGCAATGTACTGTTCACATCGGTAAGACAACTAGAAACCCCCGAAACGCTCCGCGACACAAATTGTCCGGACGTGCGAAGGAGAGACATAGATAATGCTACATGTTAGATACTGATTTTTGCCTCGTAAAAAATTGTTTTTATGCTAGTTAATGTTTATTTTGGAACAGAGCATCTGTGAGTCGGAGAACTCGCCATGTGGAGAAAATGGAGTCTGCATTCCTGACCCTCGAGATAAAAGCTTGCGATGCAATTGCCTTGAAGGCCACACAGGAAAACCATGTAGTAAGTCATGCCGGCCGTTTAATGGGTCAAAGTTAACATAATGTAATATTTAATGGCAATGCTATTTTCGCGGTAAAAATCAGTTTTGATCTCTACAATATGGTTGAATTCTAAGTTTTACCATGTGTATGAAGCGCAGTGACCCAATGGGTCAGGAGTTCGGGCTTGAGCCCAAAATGCAAGGCGAGAATTTACTTCCAGTTCCTGTGGCATAAATTGAGTCAATGCATCATTCCAATCAAAAGCGAGAAGGAGGGAAGGTTTCCATTTTGCCTCGGAAGATGGGTACATAACTCTGCACCCAGCGTTGGTCGCACCGCAGCTAATTTCAGCATATAAGGCTCTACAAACATAGCTATACCTTCCCTTTTTTGACGATGTGGGTTTGGGTTTTCGTATCTGGCGTTATTGTACTTGGCAATTTTTGTTTGAAGATGTGATGTTAAGCACGAAATAAACTTAAGTGTACGCTTATATGCGGGTGGCATTTTTTGCATTAAAATAAGAATGAGGTCCCTGCCGATCTAAGAGTCCCTGGGCTATATCGTTGTGTCTGTGTCTTTCTCGGTAGTGTATATAGACAAAATGAGTTATTCACATCAACAACATGAAGAATGAATTTTTGAAACACGAGTCCATCCACGAATCCAAGGAAGTTGACACTTCCTTGATTAATTCAATCAACAGAACCGAAAAGCTGCGCCCAAATTCTTCAAGATGGTTTCACATCCAGTGGCGTGTACACCATCAATCCAGATGGCGGCAAACCAATGCAAGTGTTGTGTGACATGGTCACGGACGGTGGAGGCTGGACAGTCTTTCAGAGGCGCTTGGACGGCTCTGTTGACTTCTTTCTTGGATGGGAATCCTACAAAAACGGTTTTGGAAATCTGAAAGGAGAGTTCTGGCTCGGAAACAACAACATTCACCGTTTGACGGCTGCTGGTAACGTCTCACTGAGAGTCGATTTGGAGGATTTTGAAGACGACGTCAGATACGCTGAGTACACGACTTTTAAGGTTGCAGACGAGGAAGACAACTTCCGGCTTGTGATTGGAGGATACAATGGTACTGCTGGTGACTCGATGGCAGTCCATAAGTAAGAGAACTGTTGTGGTTTATAAACCTGTTACTCGTTACCTATCCCTTTTGTGACTAGGTGCCACAGAAGACCTCAAAGGTTACATAGACCTAAGATTATTATAAAACATTTACAGTCCTTTAATAAAAGAGCAGATTGTCTAGTTTTATCTTCGTTTAAGTTGTTAAATTTCAATTTTTTTGCTACTTTGTTCTTTTAGAATTTAATCGAAGAACCCTGTGATTTCATTCCTGGTGTATCGAAACATTCTATTCAATACAATGTACGTTCAAACAAGGTCCCCATTGTTGATCTGAGCATGCGAAATTTGAGTAAAAAATCGTTCATGTTTGAACGAAAATCATCAACCATTTTGACTAGAATACTTGAAATTCTCTTTTAGTGGGTCACCGTTTTCAACGAAAGATAATGACACAACAGATATCTGTGCCCAGTTGTACAAAGGAGCCTGGTGGTACAAGGACTGTCATGAATCCAACCTCAACGGATTATATCTTAAAGGAGCTCATTCATCTGATGCTGATGGTGTTAACTGGAAGGCCTTCAGGGGATGGCAATATTCACTGAAACGTACTGAGATGAAAGTGAAGTAGCTAGGCCGAATTCTAAGCGAAGTTTTTGCCTAATTTTCTACAAGTGCATTTGGTACAATGGTAATTTTATTGTTCCAGCTTTTAATCTACTGATAGTCAAATTGAGACAAGTACTTTGTGTCGACCTATTTCTTGTTTATGAGCAAATACGAAGACAAAGTGCCACTGAGCTAGAACAGGGAGAAAAACGAAGGTCGAGTGTTTCGTTTTCAAAGCACAGAACTATGATCTGAGGAAAATGTTCGCTTCTATCTCGGATAGCAATCGTAATAGTTGAAGTAATAGTTTTGTATTAAAATCCGAATTTTTCTTTTTTTGTGACTATTTTTGTTTTCCCTATTTCAGGAAGCAGTTTCTTTATGTCAACTCTAAACATTATACCAATAAATAACAAAATTGCAAGTAATCCTATGATTTCCTTCTTTGTTCACTTGTTTGTTATTTTTGCTTGTCTTGGTTCTGATTGGCTGAAACGACTTTAGTTTCGCAAGTCTCCGGGTTTGTTGTCCACCTGGCCAACACGAAAGGGCTCCGTTTTGAAATGTATCCACCCTGGACAGCGTTTTCAAATGCAAACGTTTTCCAACGCCTCAGTGTAGACGGTAGGCGAAAACCCAACGTAAGCGAGTTTCAAACGAAAATGCACCACTGCTGACGGGACCTTAGTCCCCGACGGGATTAGAACCCATGTGCTCCCGCAGGTAAGAGTAATTTTATATCGTCAGAAACGTTAACACTTGTGTTCTATTCTAAGACAGTAATCGCATTTGCCACGCTACTCACAATCTACTCTGCAATAAATCTTGAGTAGCATACGTTTGAACAGTTGTGAAACAAAATGACGGCTGCTTTCTCTCGTTTTGCTAATGTTTTCTTTTATGCTTCTGGACAATATTTGGAGAATTAATTGAAAGCACAACGTCAAATATTAACAAAACCATAAACAAAAAAACAAAAACCGAGACCAAAATCAAGTGAAATTTTGCAATAGCAGGAGTTAAAGCATAAGTTTAATTAAACTTCTCTTTACTTCAAGAAATAAGGAATTATTTTATTAAACTTCTGTTTTGATGCTTCTAAAAGCGTGCCAGGTTGC